GCAAGAGTCATTCTCGCCAAGCAGAGAGAGTACTCTCCAGGGAGGGAGAATTGGGGCTCTTATATATCTCTGGGGAATCCCCTCCCCCAACCCAAACCTCAACTCCTCATTGGACAAATAAAGAGGTTATACCAAATACAAAAAGACAAATATAACATGTGTACCAGCACTCTCTTTCCCATGTCCATGATAGGTGGTATACGGGAAAAACAAAACTATTTTTTCTTCCATGCTCACACTCAACACTTCTGCAACCAGGTTTATGGGGATTTCCCCCTCACTATCCAACGCTCCAGCACCAGCAGGAAGTCCTATGAATCTATTTAATTCTAACATTGACTAAAGCTAGCACAGACTCCACAGGCAGGCACAAAAGATTATCTCCTACTTCCGACACCGATCTCAGGTCCCCGTGTTACTCAAACTTCTGTCCAATTGGGCTACAAACTGGGGGTTCCCATGATTACCTTCTGAAGTCGTAAAATTTGCTAGAGTGGTTAAGAGAACCCAGGAAACAGTTTAATTGCTATTGCCAATTTTTACTCTAAAGAATATTTTGATGGAAATAAATGAACGGCCAGAGGAAGAAACAAATTAAGATCTAGAAGGTTCCCAAGAGCAGACACTTCTGTTTTGGTGGAGTTGAAGTACACCACCCTCTTGGCACCTGCATGTGTTCACCAAGCCTACAATCTTGTAGGAATTTTTACGGAAGCTTTATCACACAGACATGCCAATTTTTAACTCCAGTTCCTCTAAAGATGGGATGTGGGGATGAAAGTTTCAAGCTTCTAATCACAGCTCAGTTTTTTTCTGGTGATGAGCTCATATCCAGGAGACCACTATGAGTCACACCATTAGAACAAAAGATGCTCCTATCACCCAGGAATTTCCAGGGGATTTAGGAGCTCTACATCAGAAACGATGGATAGAGACCAAACAGATAGCTTTCATTTTATTACAAGGGGCTATGGATAAGGAAACTGAAATTCAGAGAATTGCCTGAGGTCACATTATCTTTTTTTTTTCCAAGAGTCTGGCTGCAGCTTCAAAGTTCTTCTCAACTGAGCATTAAAACTACTATCAGTCAACCTGTGCTGATGTGACGTTGAAGCAATTCCCATCCTTGGGAATATTTAAATAATCGTGCTTTTGGTTTAAACAGAGTCAAAATAGTCATGACAAGAAGGAATCAGTGTAGAGTCTAAATCTCAAAAAAGTTCAAGTTTGCTGCTAGGTCCTCTCACTACAAAAAGTCACTGACTCTCACCTGCAAAGATCGTCTCAGGATGCCCATATCATAGTGTTGTGTGAGAATTGATAGAGAAACTTTTAAGATGTATCTTAAGATGCACCTCTCTCACACCAATCTTTGTTATTGCCCCTTTGAAGCACAAGTCAGAAATTATGGAAATGTGCTGATTTAAAGTTTTTAAGATTTGACTTCATTTTGGACCAATTCCATAACTTGGGCCTGTCACCATGATGTGACCCGTATCACAGACATGGAGGCAAGTTGAATGGATTGCAGAATGGGTGATGTGATAGTGATGCATATTATCCCCAGGCAAATATTAAGAAACTGAACTGGGCATACTGCATTTCCTCCCCTCCACGCCATTGCTATTGCAGAGTGGAGCCTGCTGTGGGAGTCAAGGATGGGCTGGAGAAGTGGGAGAGGACAGGGTCAGGACTAGTATCTAACAAGTACCTACTATATAAAAGCACCCTGATAGCACTTAAATTATGACATACTTTCCCTAGGACAGTCAGATTTCAGATGTTAACATTGAACCCCATTCTAAAGACAATGCTACTGAAACTCAGAGAGGTAGGATACTGCTCAGGATAACACAGCATGTCTGTAGCTATAATTCCAGATCCCACCTGACACCATCATTGTGACTCCTTCCCCAAAGTCTTCCTCTCTCCTACTGAGAGCTCATGATGAAACCACCACCGTCACTTGAATTTACACATCTACATGCCTCATCGCTTGATCTTCGTTTCTAAGCTGGTCCATGAAAATAACTGTTTTCTTGATCTGAGATTTTACTATTTCAAAAGAAAATTCATGGGGACTCTATTTTCTGTTTGTTTGTTTTCTGTCAACCTAAAACTTTTCTTAAAGACAATATCTGTTAATTTTAAAAAAAGAAATCTAAATCAGTGTAAGACAGTGGCATATGAGTTTCTAGAATTGTAGAATGTAGAGACTCTAAATAGAGCTTCACCACATATTACCAGAAAATGTCCTCTGCCCACCCGCTGCTACCACTTTCATCTAAACAGCCATCATTTCTTTCCTGGACTACATAATGTCCTCTTCACTCTTAATATGCATCTGCTCTGAACTCCTTCAACTTTCTTCTTTGTACTGCATCCAAGGGTGGGGGTCTCTCTCAACCACAGATCTGATTCTGTACATTTCTAAACAGCATTCCAGAGTTCCATCTTTCTGTCAAGATAAACTCTGAAATCCCTGGTGTCCTTAGTGTGGCTCACGATAATCTCTCCATCCTCTTGGACCATATCACCCTCTTAACTATCTAAGCACATCAGCCCTCTCCATTAGTCTCTCAGTTCCTTGAGGGTGTCCTTTTTATTTTGTTTCTTTCCAAGAACAGTGCATCCCGTTGCTTCCACATTGCACCTGCTTTTTCTCACTGCTGACTCCTCTTGCTTTGGCAAGGGTGAGTGACTTGCTCAAGGTCACAGGGCAGAGGGGCCCATGAACTTGTTCTTTGATTACTTATCCTTGTACAGTAGGATGTTTCACCCCAAACCTCATCCCTTTAGAGTTTTTAAACATCTAGTCAAAAAAGCAAGGTTCCTGGGTTGAAGGTTGAAAGTCTTGCTTTTTTCCCTAGGTTAGGGTTGCCATACTGAAGTGGAAAAGTGGGGAGACTTGCGGGGTCAGTGTAGCCTGATAGAATACCTGCACTGCACTTTTTAAATGTCCATGACATTTTCCTTGTTTATACACATTCTGAAACTTAGGTGATTACTATAAGTAGCTCAATGCTGAGCATTTCTGCCTTCTTTGAAGTGAGAGAGGAATATTTTTTCCCATTAGATCATGGAACTGAAACCTACTGTGTGTGTGTGTGTGTGTGGTGGGGGAGGTGGGCAGGAGAAGACACTGTACCTAAGAGCTCACATCTTCTAAGAGAAAGCTCTCTGGCCTGTGATGTTCTGTAGCCATAGACTAAACAAAGGAGGATAAAAAGCTTATTAATACTCTCTTAATCTTTCTATTTGGAAAAAGTTTATCTCTTTTCATGAACCTGTTCAATAAATTTTTGTCTTGATCTTCATAGTGAATTGAAGAGAACTACATAACTGCTTTCTTTTTTATCACTTGTCTTAATCTGAAAATAACTAGTTACCTTGAAAATTTAGCAATTTTTTTGTGTGGCCTCCCTTATGTCTTTCAGTGAATTATGTTTAAAAGACTTGATAAAATGCATTGTGGATAGTTCTTAACTTCCCTTACCTCACTCTTGTATATGATTCTTATTGATGTCCCCCAAATGCCTTTCTGCAAAATTCAAAAATTTTCAAGAATCAGCAGATAGATATTTTGACTTAGCTTAGGGTGTACTGCTAGCCAACAGCTCCATATACACTAACAATAAATTCATACCATAGAAACACCTGTGCCAAGACTTGGGTACTTTAGTGCATCCTGTTTTTATTCTTTTAAAAAAGGATATCAATAAAATTCATCTCTTGTTAATACTTGTCATAAGCAGTTTGGGTCTCATGATAGTCACAGTAAGAGCTATCGCAATCTGTCCCAGTATTATTCTAATCATCTTACATATTGATCTTGTTTTAATTTTAGTAAAAGCCTTATGAAATGGGTACTTTTTAAATTTCCATTTCACAGATGAAAAAATAAAATCCCAAAGCAATTTTATAACTTTCCAAAGATCATGTAGCTACTTAGTGATGACAAAATGAACAATGAGATACACTAAACAGATAGAAAGCAGCAACCAGTTCAGTTTAGACAGCTGACACATTTGAAGAACTGGGTGATTAAGATTTCAATTAAAAAAATAAAAATAAAGAATATACTGGAATATGCTGCTGCAGAAAATTCAAATACAAGATATAACTAGAAGTGAACTCCTCAGAAGTGGAACTTTCTTATATTATGTAAGAATGTCTTCCAATTTTTGCATATGTTAAATGTAAAATTCTTTTTCAGGAATTAAGTGGAAGATTGGGATGTATGTTAGATTCAGCTTCATGCTATCATTGATTTTCTAATTCTAGGCACTAGGATTTTCCCCCCATATTAGTTTGTGTGTGTGCACAGGCACATGTGAGTGTGAATGACAGTCATTTAAAATTCCAAAACAAAAACCACACAACCTTAGGGTTAAGATTGTGGCTCAGTGGTAGAGCATTCACCTAGCACGGGTGAGGCACTGGGTTCGATCCTTAGCACCATAAAAATAAATAAATAAAAACAAGGAAAAGAAAAAACACACAACCACACATTGAAGCATACAAGCTATTATATATTTTCATAATATAGAACTTTAAAGTATAGTAATCAACAGTGGCAAAATATTTCTGTCTTTGACATTATTATTATTATTTTTTGTGAGATCCAACCTGTAATTGAGACCAGAGAAAACGGTATGGAAAAACAAATTCATGAGAATAGGATAAAAAATATCATGAACAGCAAAATATGTCTGAGTATTTAAAACCGTATAGAAAAAATAAATTAGATGAACAATTGTGTAAATATAAATTAAAAAAGATGACATTCTTAATAAATAAAGTTTACTATTTACATTTTTATATTGCTGAAAGACTTAACTTAGATCCATAAAAACACATAAACAGGAAAAAAA